AAATATTACTTTGGGTCCTGTTAGTAAGCGATGAAGGCTCGTTTTGTAAGTTTAGGATGACTTTACTTTAGGGGTTAGGTAAATTCTAATAAACAGTAACAGTTCACCCTGATTGCAAGGCATTGCAAAGGCAAAACAATAAACTGTTTATTTTAATGTTTTAACTTTTTAATTATTATTATTTATTTTATTTTGTTAAGGCTAATAGATCAAGAGGTCTTTTCCTATTATTCTGCATGTCAAACATTTAAAATCCTATCCCTTGACGTGATTTCAGTGGCCTAAAAGTAGTGGTGTCTTGGCTAAAACCTACTGTGGCTGTTTTAGGACTATGTCCTCTTCAGCCAATTCTGTCCCTCCACAGACTTTTGCCTTTTCTTTTGTCTCTGAATATCCCTGACACAATTCCCAGACGCATCTCTATCGTCTCACGCACAGACGCACACACGCCTACAGTAGGCTTTCGTGACTTCGTTAAAAATGAGTCAGATTTATCAACTTCCTCTGGGTTTTTATTTGGTACAAGGCTAACACACGATAAGATTAATGTTAAGGCAAACAGATTATGAATGAGGAATCCTTGTATTTGTTTATTGTCTTTGTATTTAAATTTTCTTCGATGAGGATAGAAATTGTGTTGAGATTTAACCTAAACCCACCAAACAGTATTCTGAAAACTTGTCTTAGTAAAGTTATGGGGTTTAGTTTTGGGTGTTTGTAGTTGCATATCCTTAGCAGTTCTAGTTTTCTACGAATTCGGTGCAAAAATCAATGTCTCACTAAATCATTCTCAGTTACACAAAGAACGAACATCTGTGCAAAATGAATCTGCACACACTCGAATGTCAAGTATAATTGTCAAATGAACACACGTCAAAGTAATATTACTTGACATTGCAGAAGTCACCGCATATTTTTGCAGCCCTGGCCTGAAATAAGTAATTTTGTAACACTATTAGGTAAACAGATGTGAGGGTCAAAGTCTGCGGTGGGCGCTGGGCGTGAAGCTGGGGGGCGCCCAAGGTTAAGCCGCCTAGGCGCCCTGCCATGCATTGTCCTACCGGGTCTTCCTCTTCCTTGGGGCGCTAGCCTATGTTATTGTGAATTTAAACATTGTATGTACTATCGCTGTAATTCTTGGATGGACGTTGTAATCAACCTTAAAGTTAAGAATACAATGGAAACTCCATGTACAGTATCGAAACTTAAATTTATTTAATTAAAATACAAAATTGATGGTAAAAGAAAATAAGGCGTTCACAATAAAGTTTACAATGAGTGGGGAATGAATTTACTAATGAAAGCTTTAGGCTAAGCCTATTACAATAGTTCAAATTTAGGTTCAGGTGTTATAATTTATTGCTTGGATCTTTATCTCAGGTGGGGTGATCGAGCGGCATCTGAATTTAATCTTGTGATTTTAAATAGCCTAATTAAAATTTTGTTTTGAAATATAAAATAGGTTCAAATTATTTTCTGATTGGTTGTTTTAATGACTTGATTAGTGTTTCTTGACTTTTAAATTCTGGTACAAATGTTCAAAAGTTAGGCCTAAAATGTTTTAATGGCTTCCAAGGATAGAAAATGTCTACTGAAGTGACCTCACCAAAAATTGATGTCTTCTTCACGGTAAATTTCTTGATGCAGTAATTATTAATGTTCTTAACAAGGATGGTTCTTCTTTAATCGAATTTCAATAATTTAGGTTCAAATATAGGCACTTTTTTTATAAATTTTGATATTAAAATATGTAGTATCCAATTTACATCTTCATACTAGCTCAGCTCTCTTGAAAGTGATGAAGGTTTGATGCATTTTTGTATTCACACATGTCAATGCTGACTTAATCACAAAAAATTGTAGGCCACTGTTCACACATATATCATAACAAATTTCATTTGCTATAGAGCTATATTTGAATTTTGAAAAAATATTTAAATAAAATTATATTGAATTTGAAGCAATTTTGTTTCAAAAGTTATAGGCTCTTATATATTTACATGAAATTAGGTTATTTGAAAATTTTCTATATTATATTGTATTAAATTGATTACCTATTGGTCTGCATGGACAATTAATTATTATATATAGTTTGAAAAGGGAGATGGATTGACATATTAATAAAAAGAAAAACATATGATGAAAATTAAATTATTCTATAATAAAATAACAGTGAAAATATTGAATTGTTGCAACGTTTGGCTGGTTCTCTCATTTTCGTGTGTCTTTATTCGCTGAAGCACTTTATTCATTGTCCTGCTCGATCTTTGTCTTTCCTGTACACAAGTTATCTCATGCATTTCACACTCCTCTTCCACATTTGTTTTATTGAGACCCATCTCATAATAGTTGTATACAATCTAGTTAAAGTTAGTTCACTTCAACCGGAAGGCAAATAACTGGGAAGAGTGGGTTAAATGGTAGGATTGTGAATTTGAATTATTCAAGAGACGTGTTGGGCAACACGGGTTCTCCTAAAGAGAAGAGGCTAATACTGGTATCGTTTTTCATTTGTACATTTTAGCATGGATTAAATAGTAAACCCGTTAATCTGATTTTAGCTCAGGTAAGAAAATCACTTACGAACAGATGGAAACAGATGTGACCAAAGAAATGTTCGTACTCTGGCAAGAAATTATTTTGACTATGGTTTCTTGGATTTTCTGGCTCCTAATTCATCCAGGGCTTTTTCAATATAGACTACTGAGGGACAGGGTGGTAGCCGGAGTCGATGTAGAGCCCAGTTCCCGTTAAAGTGGTCACTGGCCAGTCAGTAACTACGGGGGCGAGGTGGATGGAGATACAGCGTGGGGTGTCTGGTCTACAACAGCTACAGTGTTGCCAACACTGCATTTGGGTCAATCCACTCAACACGTGTGCAACTGACCATAGAAACCAGTTCAAGTGACATTAAGATCAGTAAATAATGTGTTTGTCATACTGCAGCAAAAACAGCCTTTTTTAATGCATGTTTTGCGGGTCTAAATCATCATTTTTACTCTCTTGGGAGTAAAAATCGTTTTTAGTCCAGGTGCTAAACGAATTGAGTATGCACTGAAAGTCTGACAAAATTTGACTTTTGATTATTGTTGGGGACATCTAGTAGATGAACAAATCAATGGTGTCGCATTTCTAGGGTGGTCACAACACGGGGGGAGGGGGGAAGTTGCGCGCATGAGTGGTTTACGTTTCCGCGTCTAACCACAGAAAACATTAACTCTTAAACGCTTAATGGTAGAAAGGTGGTTTAAGCGTCTATCCAGTATCCACGCCTAAATATATTTTCTTGTAAAAAGGTTATTACAACCTTTCTTCTACGGTATCTCTTATGCTATATGCCCCAATCAACATTTATTGCAAAAAAGGAAAATTTGACATAATGACATTACTTTAAAATCAAATCTTCGAGCCGTCAAAAAGCTACTGACATTTCTCAGGATCGAACCGGCGTCCTTTTGAGTGTAAAGCAAATAGTGAAGTACGCATTTGTTACTTGAGTTACGTTTTTAAAAACAGTTTTAAAACAAATAAAACACGTAATCTATTTAAGTTGCGGTTTGAAAAGTTTTCAATAATTTTCTGTCGCCTTATAATTTATCTTCAATAGTTGTAATAACCTTCTTTGTTCCTAATTTGTCAGTATCAATTGCAACTATATTATAACATAGAATGATTTTATTTTTAAAATAAATTAAAAAAATTATTGACTTATTTTTCCACAATTCTAAATCTTTATCCTTTATCCCCCTCCTTGATGTTTCCTGTCAAATTATTTACTGTTCACGCTTAATGAGATTAACAAATGAGATCACATATTTTGAAACATGATTTTAATCTCGATGTCATCATCACTTGGTATTTTTACTTTAGCTATTGCTTTAGAAATTAATTTTGATGAGCCAATAAATTAAATTGTAATGGCTTATATGATGTTGAATGTATTAAAATATTTTTTATGTTGGAAATATCGTCTAAAATAACAACTCGTCTAATGGATTAAAAATCAAATTATTTTAATTGTAAAACAGATAGAATGAGAACCTAGATTTTTGTATACATCTTCCTTCATCAAAATATAACAAACAACTAACTTCTGTTGCCAAGGAAACATCATATGTTATTTTCTAGCATAATTATTATGGACATTATAAGATGAATAAATTATATCTTAAACAGTTTAAACAACGGTTATATTATTAATATGAGATTGTAGGTAAAACTCATTCTACAGTACTATAAAGACAAAATATATTATGAATGTATAGATAGACGTTGGTTAGGGTAATGTAATCGATTTTTGTTCATAAACAGTTGTAAGTATTTTGTAAGTTTTATAAGTCTTTTCAAACATACAGAGTTTTTTTTTAATAAGGGCTATGTTCACCGGTCATAGAAAATAAATGGAAATGAACATTTATAAAATCATAATAACAAATGTTCAAATAATTTTACTGACTTTACGTCAATCATTCCTATATTTTCTAGTAATGGGTCCAAATTAGTCAGTACCAATAGCTAGATAATGTCTTATTATTGGAACTATTTCCCGATGATATAACATTGTTTGGTCTGAAATAATAAATACAGTACAGAGTACAGTCATAGATGAAGTAATATAATATCTATTGAATTCATCTATGGTACAGTCGGTATTGCAGTATCGGTAGCAGTACAGAATCACATATAACAACTGACGATCCTAGCGGTGGTAGCTGAAACTACGAGCAGGAACTGAAGTGGTACAGTATGTCTCCGCTAGAGCGCTACAAGGTTTTCGACTAGTTGTAGTTAAATTTCCTGATAAATTTAACATATTACCGATATTTTATGAGATATAATATTCACGGAAAGTTATAACTAATATACTTCCAGTACTACTGAGTAACTCTAGAAGTAATTGTATTTCGTGTCTATCTCAAAAACGGTGTGATATCATTTGGTTCTCGCATTGGAAACAGGATCCAAGTTTGGTCGGGTCACTTCAATGCCCTAATGTTGGTAACTTTGCGCAGTGGCAATATCGTAACCAATGAAGTTCAACTGAGGTGCGATTATTGCTAATTGAAAACTTTTACCAATACCCCGCCATGGGGGCGTGAAATACCGCCCGCATCGGCAATTTTTGGCAGCCCTTACGGGGGCTCATAAACCACATTAAATTAAATCAATTCGGCAAATACATGATCGTTGTATCGAGTCAATTCAACACTGTGAATGAGAAAGAAGTGGCTACCCTTCTGATGGCAAACTACGGAAAATAAATACACCATATTTTTTAATGTACCGAAACTGAAATAAAAAGGCTATTAAAACATAATAGGGCAAGTTGTTCAGTGAATGACGTCCGAGTAATTAATTTACCATATGCATTCCTGGGCCGTGTATTTTTGGCATTATTAGATATGTAATAGAAAAAATATTTTAGTTATAGTATTTTATATATTTATAAATTATTAAAAAACTTATTGCAGTTGTACTCAAGCATTGCGTTTGCAATAGGGGAGGACACAGTTTGATAAAATTTGCTTCTTTAAATTTACGGTATAGGCCCTATAGTAGCCTATTGCACATGTATAGTACCATAGCCATAATGTTCTACCACTTCACCTAAACAATAAAGACAAATTAATACAGTATTAAAAATTTGCAAAATATCGCAAATTATTTATGATACAGGGTGAGGCAATGAGAACGCTACAATTTGTTTTACCTGTCACATGTTAATTGTTGCAACAATGAATGATCAGCTGTGCTTAAAACATCAACTAAACTATGCCATTTTAGTAAATATTTTGCCTGAGGCTATTAACACTGAGATTTTGATGTGGAAACCTATTTATAAAATAGTGGTTCTTGTGCAAAAACCCAGAGATTGTTTTGACCGTATTCCATCCTTGGTCAACATGGCGCTGTTCCAGATTGGAAAACAATGTTGAACTGGGTAAAATTATTTAGGATAATCGCTTAAACAGAAAAAAATAATCGGTGGGTGCCGCAAAACTCTTTGTACACCAGCAAATGTTAAAAGAATATGAGTCCCAGTAACTTAAAGTCCGAAGAGATTGGCCAGGAAGCTTTTGTTGTTGAAAGCTTTACGTTGGCTATTTTTTTTGGGAGGGGGTGGGGTTGTTCCAATAAGCTACTTGACCTTGACGTTCTAGGTTTTTCAAAGTCACCCCACAGATTTGCTTGAACCGAAGCTAAGGATAGTCCAAAAACTAAAGTGATTCCTGAAGAAGTGCTGGAGGAGTATTTGATAGAGTTTCAAGTGGCTAAAAAGGAATTTTAAGTAGGACAATGAAGTCACTTGTAGGATTTTGTTCTCAAGAAATGGAAAAATGACTTTGTTAAGTTAAAATGGCAAAAGATAAGCTGTGTTTTGGTGTGCTATTTATATCCATAAGTTGAATATTATTGAGTTTGTACTGTTTATAAATTGGGGCGCTTTCATTGCCCCACCCTGTATTAAAAACATAATCATAACTGTAAACGATCCTACTGGCGATTCTCATTAGTATCACAGTTTTTTTGCTGTTTAGTTCAAATTAGCTGTTTTCATAAATGCAAAAAAAAATAATAGTGCTCCACCCTATTGTGCTTTTGCATATCATAGAACCAACTTTTTTAGTTGAAACAGCTGACTAAATTCTTTAATTCCCTTTAAATATGAATACTCATAAGGTCAACATGGGGGACTACAGAGCCACTGGGGCGGAGCCCGAAAGGATTTTTGAGATAAGAATATGCCTATATGTTTATCGGGAATGTAAGCTACCATAATGCCAAATTTCAGCAAAATCCTTCCAGTGCTCCCCAATAAAGCAGGGGGGTCCGGATTTGAAATTTTCAAAGCCGTTTGGTGGAAGTCTTCTTCTCCCTCCCTAACTGATCACTGATGGTTCATAAAAACCATCATGTACCAAATTCCCCAAATCTAAATAATATGACTGTCCTCTTTGATCTTATCATAGTACTTTGTATCGATCTTGATAGTTTGCTCCTGAGCTGAATAGCTTCTAAATTCGGAGTATCAAGCAAATGTCGATCATCAGGAAGACAAACAGTGTGTTGATGGTTAGTACCGTCACACACACTTCAATAAGATATTGTTCAATCCTTGGCATCTACAAGCTGTCAAAATTGCACTCCTTGTTGTTAAGATTGTCCAAGAAAAGTATTTTGTCAATAATTTTCAAATGTTTTGCTGCTAACATCAGTACTGACAATTCCTACCATACCTGGACCTGGGGATGAGAGAGCATGTTAACACTCAATTCGTGTATAAGGATTCCCATCTCCTCCCAAAAAAAAAAGGGAAAAAACTTGGACCCAGACGCAATTTCTTATAGGACTACGGATACTATCCAGCAAAGAGTGTGTAGATAGTGGCAAGAAAACCCGTAAAATAGTGTTAAACTAAAACTAGTACAGATTACTTCAGCGATTAACATATCATGGTGTATCTAGCAGTCTGCGGTGGCAGTGGAAAATCGGTCAGTTGCATCATTGCATGTGTTGCTCATATTTCAGGCACACCTATATCTGATACATGTGGGTTTGTACCCGCAAGTATTTAGAACACTAGCCATGGACTGTCAGCTAGTTGAAATTGTGATTTTGTTGTTTTTTAGATTTACAGGAATGGAAATATTTGATTTTGAATCGTCTTACGAACTGAGTTTTGTGAATTTAAAAGAACATTTTTACACAAATATGAATCTTGAAGTTATTTTGGTTTTTGCACAATATTTTTATTCAAGTTTTGATAGCGTAGTTTTAGATTTTATTTTTTTTGCAATATAAACCCTAGTACCAACAAATTTTATTATTGGATGATTGGATCACTGGTCTACCATCAGTGAAAAGAAAAGTATTGAACAGCTAGAGACTCAACCCACTACTGGACTTGATATTACAGTGTAAAAACACTTATCCAGCTTTGTTTAGATTGCATAGACGGATTGCCTAAATCATACAGGGTGTTTTTTTTTTAAACTTGCATCTTTATTTATGTAAAAACCGCAATAGATAGAAATATGCAGTTTGCGGGAATCATCTATTGACGTAAGGGGCCCAATTTTTTTTTATTCAACGTTACATTCACATTTCCCCCTGCCCCCAACTGATGAAAAAAAAATTAAAATCGGTTCATAAATTTGTGAGATATACCCCCCCTTCCCCAGAACTTAATTTTTTTTTTAATAGCAAGGTACTCCTTGTGACATATCAAATGAAAGAGCATAAAAAAAGAAAATGTGGTGTTTCACAAGGGGTACCTTGATATTAAAAAAAGTTATATTAAGTTGATATTAAGTTAAGGGAAAGGGGGGGGAGGATTATCTCACAAATTCATGAGCCGATTTTCAATTTTTTTCACCAAACATTTTCTTTTTTCATGCTCTTTCATTTGATATGTCACAAAACTTGCTATTAAAAAAAATAAGTTCCGGGGTGGGAGGGGGGGAATATCTCACAAGTTTATGAACCGATTTAATTTTTTTTCACCAAACATTTTCTTTTTTCATGCTCTTTCATTTGATATGTCACAAAACTTGCTATTAAAAAAAAATAAGTTCCGGGGTGGGAGGGGGGAAATTTCCCACAAGTTTATGAACCGATTTCAATTTTTTTTTTATCAAACATTTTCTTTTTTCATGCTCTTTCATTTGATATGTCACAAGGGGTACCTTGCTATTAAAAAAAAATAAGTTGGTGGCAGGGGGGAAAGGGGGGGAATGTGAATGTAACGTTGAATTAAAAAAAATTGGGCCCCCTACGTCAATAGATGATTCCCGCAAACTGCATATTTCTATCTATTGCGGTTTTTACATAAATAAAGATGTAAGTTTTTAAAAAAACACCCTGTATTTGGATAAGACTAAATTTTACATAATCCAATTGACAAACCAACTAAATAGATTATAAATAATCATTCTTTTTTTCATGGGAGAAAGTATTTTACAGCAGTAAAGCTTGATTGGCTCTTAAACTTCAGGATTTGTGAATTAATCATAATATGGGAAGTGTATTGTGATACATCAGAATAGATTAAAGTCACCTTAAAAAGTGTATAATGTAATACAGTAGAGTCTCGATAGTCCGAAATGGTTTGGACCGGAACATTTTGGATTACCAAACATTTCGGTTCAAGTTTTTTTTTCTAATTTTTTCCCCCTAGGATGCTAGGCACGAGCCTGAGATTGTTTTTCAAGTCTATCTCACCCGGCCGCTAGAGAATACTTCGACGAGGTACAACTAACTGTCGTTAAACGACAGTGCTAGCATTTTCATTTGATTTCCTAACATACTATGCAATTTGTTAGAGTTAGCTTACAAAAAATATAAGTCCATCTCACGCTCACGTATACGTTGGATTTTTTAGAGAATAGGGTAACAAAAAAATGTACACAAATAAAAGTTGTTTCAAATCTAAGGTTTTTATTCTCTTTTGGTCCAATATATGCTTTAATACAACAATAATGAACAATTACTTTTAAAATAAACAATGTTTTACTTGTGCCTCTAGTAAATAATTAATTTTTAGTCCTTTACATAAAGTGAAAAACATTCATGATGTGACATTAATCTGAACATCAAGTTTACAGTAAAATATATGCTGAACCAAAAGACGAACATCAGTCTATTTTGATTGGTGGGATGGGTAGGGGATCTAAGCACCATGTACCTAATGTAAACCATATTCTATAGACAACTAAATACTGCAGCTATTATACAAATATGTTATTATCCAAAATATAAAATGTGTCGTTTCACTTTATAGACTACAATAAATAAATGCCCGAAAGTGACAAACCTCTAAGCCAAGCTAATTATTGTTTCCACAAGATAAGTTTATTTATTAAAGTTACAGTCCAGGTTAAAAACATAAAAGCACTTATTTACACTATTTTTAAAAACTGAAAACAAAAGTAATCCAAGTTCAAGGTCTATATTAAAAGGCTACTTCTTATTGTATAGCACAAAAAATATTAGAAAAATGAAAATTTCAAGTTAGAAAAAGAAAAGTACAATTATTCGATCACGAGTTTACATTTTTTTTTCAAACACTTCAATAGGTGTGAAATAAATGTATCAATTTTCCTCAAAATTTTACCAATTAAATTAATATTATTTAAATATGTAGGCTATAAATGCCTAGTATTAGTGAGGTTAATATTGACCAATTTTAAATGCTTATTATTTCCAATTTAGTATAGTACAATTGATGAAACCATATTGTGTTGAAATGCGCAAATGCAAAGTGATATACGATTATTTTGAGTCGGAACAATCTTTAACCATCAGATTGAGAAGTTTCAGATTCTTTTTGAGGTATTATTATTAATTAAATAATATGCATTAACCACTATAAAACTTTTTTGAGTTTTAAAAATCACTTTCTATGTCTTTTGCAACAGTGTTCTAAGATTACCGTACTTATAAAACTAACATAGCTTAACAATCGCCTTAAATTAATTTTAATTTGGCTCTTCAAAAAATAATTAAAAAGTACAGTGCACCTATTTTGTGCATTATGAGACAAGAGACAGAATCAATAAAATATCACACCTATTAACAGCATCCCAAAATAACAACAAACTTGTTCATAGAACAAAATATAGTATATATCTTTGTACAAAATCTAACTACAATACTTTTGTTGTTAGGAAACTTGTGCTATAGTGATAACATACGATGGGTCTAACAAAACCACTAGTTTCATGTTAGTGACACACTAGTTGTTATTAGAGAGGGTGTTTTCACAGGTTTCTAATGATTTTATATTCTATAGTTACAATGTTAATTCGTCAAACAAAAACACTTAAATGCTAAAACATAAAAACAACAGACTAACTTATTAGTATTTATATACATAAAAGAATAACAAGATAGAAAGCTAGTGGTATATTTATTGCATCACTGAAAGTTTAAAGCATGTCTAAAGTTTTTGACGCTACAACCGAACATAGTTCTTTTTCTTACTTTACAAAACATTAAATTATTCACTATTCACAGAGAGCGTAAATAAAAGCTTTTGACTTTCCACAGGAATAAGGCTGAAAATGAATGTCTTCGTTGGCCTTAACACAAATTCCTGAGTTTATGTTTTTCACTGATGAGCAATTCACTCGGGCAAAATGTTTTTAGTAAAGCACTGTAACGTTAATTTTGATATGAGCTGTCAATCTAACTTAGTCTAATCATAAAAAATGCCACTAAAAATCACTTTCTACTTCATAAAATTCTTAAACCTTCAACGTTTTAAAAGACAACAGGGGATAAATGACCTTCGCACCTCATGTAATGACTGTACTGTGTTACGTTCGTTTATTCTGGCTGTAGTTGCAGGCTGCTTCTCTTCATTTAAAATTCATCACAAGAATATTTTGCTGCAACTTATATCATGTCCGCACTTCTCAGCAACTCTTCAATCTTCATAGTTCTTCATCGGTACAGTTACACTTGAATCTTCATATTTCTATGTCAGCTACACTTGAATCTTTAGAGTTCTATATTAGCAACACTTGTGTCTTCATAGTTCTTTGTAAGTTACACTTACATCTCTTAATTCTTTGTCATTCGCATCCTTACACTTCTTCGCTTGTGTTTGATGTACTCGTCAAGTTTGCAACTCATGTACATTTATAAACACACAAGAATTCAGTTTTGTCTTTTTCAGTTGTGTCTGTTTCAGTTCATTTCTGTTTCATCACCAAGGCTTCTAGCAGTCGCAGTTTTGCTTTTGCATGTTTGTATTCTGCATACGTTTGCTCCATCGGAAGTCTGTCCTCTCGAGATAGTTTGCGTCCAACAGTTTTCTGACATTCTTCCTCAAACTCTCGCAAACTTCGACGCAGTCGTTTTTTTTCTTCTCTTGTCTGTTGCTGCTGCTTCAACAGTTCTTGTCTGAAAACAGATGTGTATATCAGCTGACTGTGACATAGATAGATTTATGTTACTGTAATTAGTTTAAAGCGAAAATAGGTGAAAAAATTTATTTAATGAAAAGAATTATTGAACATAACTCATTATTGAAATAGGTATTTTTTTGGTCGTTGTTTTTCAGTTGCTGTACGTTAAAAATAGTATTGCTGTCACTCTCAACTGTAGTTCAATATTGATATTGAAAAATGTCTTTATTCAGAGTGTTTTAAGGACTTTACTTATTGTAAAGAGGGAAAAAATATGGATGGATAAAAAATTTGGTGCTCTAAGTATATTGGAAATAAGAAGAGGTTTATTTATAATATTTTATTTTCCTACAGTTACCTAACAATGTACATGTTCTCTCACTGATTTGAGAAAGCAAAGTGGCCAATTCGCTCATCAGTGAAACAATGTTAACATTGTCTCACTCTAATTACTTCGTCTCATTCCAGATTTGCAACGTGAAGGCACGTTTCTTTACCAATTTATTTGTTTTATGGTAACTGTAGGAAAAATATAATGTGCAACTTGAGTGCAAAGTACAATTGCCTCACTCGAGAAACCATTCCTCACTCACCTACGGCTCGTGAGTAAGGATTTCTCTCGAGTGAGTCAATTGCTCACTTAGCTCACTAGTTGCACAAATAACTATTTCTATAGACAAGAACCGTTTCCATATAACTTCAGGCTAGACTTAGAGGGTCACGGAATTATCAAAAAGACTTAGCCAATGGCACGATTTGAGCCTGGAGTTTTATATCACTAGCTGCTCAGGCACAGAACATTAAAACCTCGTTGAAATATATTTACAATTATCTCATCATTATTTCCAAAAATAACAGGCAAAAAGTCTTTAAATATGGCATTGCTAACTGCTGACAATATTTTTGTAGATCAATATTAGACATGATTGCACAGTTTGGGGCAAGTAGCCTACGATGAATTACTTACAACGGAAGGGCGTGCAGATTCTCCAAGTCAGGTGTGCTGCAGCGAGGGGGGCTGGAGGGTACCATGACCGGGGGTGTGGAGGGGGGAGGAGGCGGAGACGAGCTTGTAAAGTCCATTGTCTCATGCTCCAAGATGGTCCCCAGCTCCGTCACGGTCTCTTTCAGTTTTGACTAAAGCAAAAAGAAAGTGTTTTACAACATGTAGGCCTATACAGAACCAAAACTAAGGTATCCGCAGGTACCTAGCACGTGCAATTAATCAGTTGTAGTAGAGTACTCAACCGTAGAAAATGCTTTACCGAAAAAAATCAGACCACAGACTATCTTTCTTTCACTTCTTTAATCCAAATCTTACTTAATTTGATTATGTGTATTATTTGGTTATGAAACACTGTTATCAAATATCACATTTTTGAACTTACCTTTGATAAATGATTTAATAACCTGCTAGAGATAAACTTTTGTTTGTTGAAACCATTTATAGCAAAAGGATTCAAAATGTTGTAACACCATGAGGCTCTACGTAAAGTGAATATTTAGACTTACAGGAGCGTTCCTAGCCAGTAGCCGCTTGAGAGAACGGTATCTGTCGTATAGCGGCCGCACCAGGTCTCGGTCCTCCCGGGTTGAGGGTCGTCCGAAGGTATTCTCCAGGTACAACAGTCCCCTCTGTACTGCCAGCTTCTCCTCTACCAGTTGTTCCCGTGTCATGTCGTCGACAGTCTCCGGCCGATTACCAGTCATTCGCTTCTCCATCAGTCTCTGCAAACAGATCAACATTGATCACATTAGATTTACAATGTTGTTGACATACCAAGTTGCATATTTAAAGGCGAAATTGAGTGAAGGATGAGTGCTGACGGAGTGAGGTGACAGTTTTGAGATCTGCTGATTGCTAAAAAAAGTCAGGACAGTTGATTTATCCCAAAAGTTTCATTTACACCACGTACTCAACTTTTCCAAACTGTGGTAAAAACAATTGTGGTTCCAAACTTCACTTACGTAGTAGTAAACTAAATTCAAAAACATAAACCAGCGACTAAAGAGTTAATTAACTACATTATGATGCACTGTGCCTTATATTTCCAAAGTATAGGCTAAGTTCTACCAGACTTATTTACAAAGAACCTACCTTTTCAACATCATGAATAGCTTCTTCTTTATTGGCGTAGTTTGAGTTTGCCGAGCTACTTGAACTAGGTTGTAAAGCCTTCTCGAGCACTGATGTCCCTTCTTCTTTTAATGCTGAAACATTTACAAAACAGATTATGAAAAATCAAAGATTAGTCCCAACAACAAAAATGTCATCTGGTTACTCAGTATTAATCAATTCCTCATTAGTATGTTTGATTTCCAATGTTCTCTGATATGATCGTTACAAATAGACAATGATTCATGAATGTGTAATGGGGTCAATCCATTTCAAGTGGTCCAGAGGTGGTTGCTTCAAGATTTTCAATTTTTTTCATATTTTTATCCTTGAAAGTATATATTGTTAGAAGTACAAAAATACAATTATTTTATTTTTATTTTATTTTTCTACTGAATGGCGGCCACTTTTTTGTTACTCGAACGGCCGTTTTCAGCAATTTCAGAGCTCTGCGTAGAATTTAATATCTCTGGTTCTATATATCCTAGCCAATTCCTATACCAATTCCCTGAACACAATCCTCTCACAGATTTGTACCTGTGGCAAACAACAAAGAGCGTTTTAAAACATCAAAATGCTTAAAATATATGATTAAAATATAACATTGTTAAAAAAATACATTGATAGTGAGTTATAATATAACATTATGCTTCCTACGCTATTACGGCTATAATGCTTATTTAGTACTTTTCAATGTTTCATAACTTGAAACCAGTTGAGTCCACAAAATAAAATTATTACAGCATAATACTCTTACTTAGTACTACATCTGAGCCAAATTTGAAATTTTTATTTTCATGCCCAACAAAGATATTAATCATCAAACTTTGAAAATTTTGAAAATTTTAAGATTTTGACAATTTTTATTTAAAACTCTATGCAAGTCCACAACTTGAAACATTGAGAATTTGGAGTACACACCTATAACTATCAGATAAAAAAATAACAAACACATAGTCAATTGCCTTTATATAAAAATAAATTGTTTAAAATCAGTATTTGTAACATCGTTGCGTTAAACTTTAAACAGGTAATTAGACCTATATATTTAGTTTTAAGTGCATAAATATATTACCATATCAAAGTTCAGATCTTTCTGAAGAGATTGGTTTTTATTTTAATGTTCTAGGATTAGTAGAACCAGAGATATTTAATTTTACGCAGAGTTCTGAAATCGCAGAAAACGGCCATTCGAGTAACAAAAAAATGGCCGCCATACAGTAGAAAAATAAAATAAAAATAAAATAATTGTATTTTTGTACTTTTAATAATATATACTTTCAAGGATAAAAATATGAAAAAAATTAAAAATCTTGAAGCAACCAATTAATTTATTTCTGGACCACTTGATATGGATTGACCCAATGGTGTTTTTTTTTCTCTACAGACTGATAGCTAATAAAGTAAGCTAGCACACAAATGAGTCCAACTGTTTCCGAACTATTGACTGATGGTTTATGAACCATTCATCATATTAGAGTACCGTAAATATATTATAATTTTCCATTGGTCTATATTTTTGCTTTCCAAATTTCTACAAAATAAAGAGTGGTGATAACCTAATTCACGTCTAGCGGTAAAGATATTATAAATCGATCTTACTTAGCCTAAAGAGAGAAGTTCCATTTTGGTCTGAAGGATTGAAACATCTCCGTGAGCATTGGTATACTAGTTTGAAGCCTTGAATATAAAGCTGATATTTCCGATTCAATTTGGTGCAGCTCATTTTTAGTTAATAGGTAAAAGCTTCAAACGATTCTGCCACTTACTCTTGACTTCCTTCCGCAGTTTGGTGAGGAGGGAACACATTTTTTTGGTGTCTGGGTTGGCAAGCTTGTCTGCATGACTCGGTCTGTAGCCAAACTCCTTCTCAAAGCCTTCTTCATAGCGCTTCAGTTTACGTTTGAGGCTGTAACATACAAAAACGCAATAAAACAAACTATTTCTACGGATTAAAAAAAAAAAAAAAAAAAAAAAAAAAAAAAACAGAAAAGGCTTAACTCATTCTATATGGAAATATCATAAAAATTCCAGTTTGCCCAGATAACTTGAATACTAAAAACACTCTCTTAGTAGATTTGTTATTCTTATAAATCAGCTGGAGACAATTTTATGGTTAGTTCCATCCGGTGCCGCTAGGATCTTGTTTTTGTTTACAATTTGTTTCATGTTATTTCAGTTCTTTAAAACATTGTTTAACCAAATAAAACAGTCCAACCATAAACAATAACTCGTCCCTTAGTTATATAACCAAACAGTAAAGCACAAATCATTAAATTAATTAAAAAATAATGGAAACAAAATTTCATTGACACTAGCACCCAGTGTAACCAACATAGATTAGATACGAAAATAAGCTTCAAATTTTACAGGATGAGAAGTCTACTTGTGTAGTCTATGATACTAATTATCAAAATACGTAGTTTAAATCTTATATTTTACAATGTCAAGTTATTAGTGATTGAAGTTTCCTGAATTGCTCTTAAGAGTTTATACAAATTACTATTTCATACAAAGAATTACTATCACCGTTTTAAAACAACTAACAAAAACACTCAAATGTACCATTGCTTTTGAAATTATACATAGTAACGGAATTTGATTAAAAACTCATACGGTGAATTAACTAAGTAAAAGCCATGATGATTCTGTACATGCAAAATTGATCACATCATTGTTTGTTAACTTTAGTTTTATTAACAGTAACTAATTATACCATTTTTTTTATGTTTCCCCCATTTTAAGTCAAGGGACAAGTTTTTTTTATGTTATTATATTTGTAATGTTGTAAGGGAGACAATATCAGGCAATTATTATTGATCTCAATTCTTAAAATTTAATAAATATACAGTACAAAAAACAACTAAGAACAAGTAAAAAAAACCATAGTTATTTCTATGGATTAGTAGATTAAAGCGGTGATACTACGTTAATATTTAACGACTCGCTTTAGCATAACAAACTCTCTGTTTACCTGTGGATTTGCTTGGACACTTGAGAGAGGTGAGAGTCAGAAGCGTGTTGAGGAGTGTCGTCCGAGAACACTCGTCGAGTCATCACGATGGAGCTACGTGGAGACACCAAGCGGTCCTCTACCTATAACATGTGCCGGCAATGATTAATACTTATCAGAGTGTAAAAAGATGTTTTCAGTTAAAAATACAGTAAAGTACTACTGTTTAAAACCCTGCTTAGTGCCTGTAAAACCTTTAAAAACCTGTGCCTGTAGTATCGCAAACTTGGCACCTGATAACATGGCAGATCAAGATTTCTAGACAGACCCTTTAAGAATTTGTACACAAGTTGAAGAGAATCTTTAGTCCTTTACGACCCCACAAGAAACCCAGGTAGCAACTAAAAATTGGTGTCTTCAATAGTTACACAATGCCTAGCTTTTGTGAATTAGAGCTAGCCCTACTTGCACACATTAAACTGGAACTCAAGAGTGAATTAAGGAATGAAACAAAATTAAATGAAAATTGCTTCTTTATTGAGGCAATCTTATGACCTCATGGTCCTTTCTTATAGCTTGCCTCTACAATAACAATTATACTAAAAGTATGAGTATTGCATACCTGACGACCAGTCTGCTAGTCAGTCAGTCCACAGTCATAATTTTTTTTTAATAAGCAAGTCAAATAACATTTTTTTGTATTTCAATGTTATTGTTGTAAATTAACTATTGATATTAAAAATTATAATTATTCTCAGTTTGAACGTTTGACCGAGCATTTCTTAGACTCGACACTGTTCCAGTCCACATTAGACTGTACTGTACTAAAATAAGTAATTTCTTTCTTTTAATTTCCTGATACATTAGACACATCACTGACTCAATATATGGCACTACATGACGAATATCCATGTTAGCCAAGTTATTGCTAAGGGTGTGGTCTGTTTAGCATGAATTAGCAAGACTACTAGTTGCTAGCACTCAAATGACAAAATTATATTTGTTTCAAAACTACATTGTTATGGAATTTATTTATAAAATTATTAGGTCAAAATTGTCTCTGGTTTCAATTGAAAAGTAGACCTAGTATTTTGCTAGATGCCAACTTCGACATCTAAAGCTCGCTCGCCATGATCACTGACCTGGTGGTGGCGGAAGGACAGACTAGTGAGTGGCTCGGTGGAGTCAACTTGTTGATGCAACGTTGACAAGTCTAGTGGAGGAGTGGGGGGAGTAGCCTCCGGCGACGGACAACGATCCTTTACCTGCAACATGATGTATGCTTATATACACTGGGCCTGTGCAACCTAACAATCAAGTAACATGAGCGGAGTTATAGGTTACTTGTTGCGGGGAGAGGCATGAATTCTTAAATTGTCAACCTACTGGTTAAGGGGTTCTCCCCCCTTAGAAAGTTTAGGCCATTATTTCATAAAAAAACCTTTGATTATTGATAAAACTTTTTTGTTAAAGCTCAATTCTTTCTCTATTTCCTCAAATTTTAATAAGATTTGAAATATTTTAATGCTTTTTCCAACGAACTTAGAAAATACCTTTTAAGTGCTTAAGAAGTAGTAGAAAAGTAAAATAAATAAATTCTGTAAAAATGTCAATTTAAACATCTTTGTTTTTTTTTACATCACAGTAAAAACCAGACTAACTTTTACGGGATAAATTTAATTTACAATATTCCATTTTATTTATATTACTGAAACAACCAATGAAACCTACACCCAACAGAGTATTTAACCAACAAAGTATCCTTCGTCTGTGCTTGAATAAAAACATAAAGACGATGAAGCCAAAGTCAGTGACAGAGTGACGGGACGGCGTTATCATCGGCCAGACAGCTTGTGTAAAAGTGTGATGAGTGAAAGAAATGAGAGGTTTGGCTTTGTTACTATTCTTACAACACTATATGTTTATTTTATATTTATATATAAATCCCAATGATCAAGCACACAATTTGAATTATTTTTAAAGAAGGTTTGTGGCTCATTTAGGCTTGCTTGTCTGCATGGCCTCTGACCAACGTCGGGTTGAGCTGGTAAATAAAAAGAAAGAACAGAACTGATGAGTAGCGGTACCAAGACATGGTCCTTAAAACCTTTGTTACCTTTGGCATCAATAAATTATTGGTTCTCGTTTTACCAATACTCCTTTACTTTAGATTAAATAAATATCAATTACAGAAAATTAATTACTACACATATTGTTTTACGGCATTTTAACATTACACATCTCCCTCAATTCCAACCTTTAAAATTGCATTGTTAAAACGACAGATGAGTGATAGACGCAAAGTTTTTGAATGTGAAAGATTAACATTCCTAGCACTCACCACACAAATCCGTGGTAGACTTGGTGGAACTTCATCTTTGCTCTCACACCACACTACAGTCTCCACAACAATGTTGGTACCCCTGACTGTCTCACTTTTCAACAGTATTTTAAGAACCATTTCAAATTTTTTGTTGACCAAATAATTTTTTATTAACAGATTGGCAAAGTTCCTGCACTGTTTGGTGATTAGTTAGAATATGTCCAATCAGCTACCAGTCATGGTTAAAGACTTTATTGGCATTATATCACTTTTATTTTGTCTTATATCTGTTGTGCCTATTTGTTTAAAAAATTATTAGATTTAAATGTTAACACGTTGAGACTGTTAATGTAAGTATCTCCATATTTAGGCCTATGATTATCGTAAAATTTCACACTTAAAAATGTTTAAAACTTGAAAATTTCTATATTTGAGAAAATCATTAGAAATCACAACATGTCACACACACACTTCACATACACAACACACACTTCATGTCACAACAAGTTCACTTTTAATGAATTGCATATTAAACTAAACCTTATTCCAAAAGTGTAATCAATCAAGGAAGAATGTCCCAACTAAATCTTATAAAAATAAAATATTTGCAAACGCGAACACACAGTAACAAGCGAGTAACACAGACTGTTGAATGTGCTTGTAAGTCGGTCGATACGAGACAAATAGACATTTGGACAGTGATATATGATCAACATGCAACCTCGTATAAGGCACAACCTCTGCACAAAGCTGTGTATTGTTATAGGATCTTTATAAATAGGCTACATGTTCAATCGTTGAATTTCCATATCTGAATTTCCTTACCAACATTCTTATTCTATATTTAAAATGGCATCCACATTTGCGTTTTTTTTATTCACAGGAAAGTTTTGCAAATATTGTTGTCTAATCCTAAATTATTTAATCCTTTTATATTTTTTTAGTAAAAAAGAACTTTAATTTTAGCATTGCTTTTGGTAGAGGACATTTTATAGTACAGAGAAAATTCTTCTTCTTCTACAGAAAGATCGATCCATCCTTTTTCTCTAGATTGGTGGGCTCTGAACAAGTTGGTCACATTGTGAAAAGCCATTGGTGCTTGATAGACTTAGGACCAAATCTCTATAGAAATTCTGTGTTTCAACATAATCAGCCGCAGCTCTGGATTTAAGATTTCTTAAGCCGGTCAGATTACAGAAAATAATTCATCCAAACCTGTTAGCTTTGTGCTTCACATTAGAAGGTAGATACAAATTTAATTAATGAAGTTGTTTCGTAAAAATGTGTAGGAGTAGGAGAATATATATATAATAGATGGTCCATCAATGTATAAAGATTGATCAAATAATCATAATGATCATGAAAAAGGATCTACCAAACAGTTTCAATCAATTTACGTTAAAATGCAGCAAAGTCAGAGGTGAAAGCAATTTTTATGAATTTTAGCCTTTAGAGTTTTTTCCTAGTTGATTTATATTGTGTTGTGAGCTAAAGTATACACTGACTAGTTATTATGCTTAGGTAAGTCTGCCTTACCTCGTCATGCAGTTGCAGGAATGATCGCTCACTGCTAGACGAAGTACTACGAGACTCGTCTTCTGATAACGGCATCGTCGGCTGAACCACCATAGCCCCTTCCTCTTCATTTTCCTACAAAAATATTTTTAAAAATCCATCCCGTTTGATTACAGTAGAACCTCAATTAACCGTCACCATCGGGACCGGGAGCGTGATGGTTATTGAAAAGACGGATAGCAGAAATCCTGTTATACACCTCTACAGTAAGTTGATTTTAAAGATTTTGGAAGAAATTAAACCCTGTAGTTAATACTAAATATTTATATTACTTACACACAAGAGTAATACAAAACTGTCATTTTGTATGTTGTACTTGTTCAATGTTCGTACAGTGAAATGAAATTGCATTAAAAATTAATCTAAGTACTGTAGCGGGGTGACGGAAAACAGAGAATGACGGTTAAAATTAAAATAAGTTGAAAGTTGTTTAAGAAGTTATCTTTACATGAAAAGTATTTTTGTTTTCTAGCTTAGTATGTTAAATAATGTTGCAATATGACATGACAAAAAATCAATTTCATCACACAGGCAAAAAGTGACTATTCAAACCTCGCTAATTTTCCAACCGGTGGAACTTGAGCTCAGGTTTAAAAGAGTCACTTTACGCCCTAGTGATGAAATATAAAAAAAAATTATAAGAAAAACATTTAACCCATAAAATTATGTTTACCACACCCCCTTTCACATCACAACCCTGTTTCAGTTCAGGGGTGTGACTTTTAATCTCTATTTGATAGTACAGATAACCAAGTAGTATATTAAACAAAGAGTAGAGAGATAATGAAACAGTGTGAGAAAGAGATAACGAGTTGGAACAGTTAACACACAGGACTTTGGAATCCTCATTATCACTAAATTACATCCCAGTAAAATTTGTATCAATGTTATCTTGACTTAACTCGATTGCTTCACTTCTTGTTTTGAACATAGTCAAACAGTTAAAACTGTAAGCATTATTATCTTCAGGATATATTTCAGCTAAACATTGGCACTGTTAATTATATTGAAGGCAAGTCTAATATTTTAAATACGGTACTTATGTTATGTTCCAAGTGTATGTATGTTATTTGTATATGTTATTTATATATGATGATGGGGATAGAATAATCAAATTGCTGATATGATTCCGAGAAGTTTTTTTAAGAAAGAGGTAACAAAAGATGGCAAGAAGACCAGGGTTTGGATAGTTCTCTTAGAATTTCTCTTGTACTGTATATAATAATTTCCCTATACGCCTATAATGTTCTATACAAATTAGTAGACATAGACAAAGTTAGGAATTAAAGTCTTTAATATAAATCACCTCTTGATGATATTCAACCTGTAAATGCTACTCTGTATTCAATGAATAAGGATTATTTTAAATCCAAATTGTCTTTGTACCTTAGACGAGCTGTCCGGATCGTCACTACTGCTCCACTGACGCACAAGTTTGCCGGTGCTGCGCCGGCGCCGGGTCACACGAGCAGGCGGTACGCACGGCGCATGCCTCTCACTCTGGCGCCGCCGCTCATGTTCATTCTCATCAAACAAGTCACTGGCGTACCTGAAATACAAGTGAAAGAGTTGAGTAATTGACTTTACCTACGATAGTTTTTGTGAACTAGCCTTTTCAATTCAGTTCTTAGAATATTCATTTTACAGTATTGTTTACTTACTTAAGCATTGTTTTGTTATACAGCTTTTAAGGTATACAGTAGTACATAGTATGACAATGTAACCAACATTTTCAACATCGAAAACACTCTCACACAAAATTAAAAACTTGACCTTTTTACAAGGGATTTAAAAACGACAATAATTTACCTAATACATCTAGAACTTTATCAAAATCAAATTTTACATTCGAGCTGACCAAGTCTTTGAGCCGAAAAGCATATTACGAAATCCATACTTTTTTAAAGATACATTTTATGTCTTTACACTTGTTAGAACTTGTACATAAAATCACTGTACCAGCTTAGGAATTACTTTGGTAATATGTCAGGATGTCAGGTGTTATGTACAATAAAGCTTTGTCTATTGGCTATTGTAATGAATTAACATTCACAAATATACACATATAAAAAAAATGGGTTCCAAGATCAAACTTAACAACACTATTGTCGTCAACAGGTGACTATGGTCGTTAATGGTGGTACATCACTAACATTTTGTGTTGAGGTTTCCATGGTCCGTAACACAGTTTCACTCACCCAGGTGATGGACTGGACTCTATGAGCTGGCTGAGCCCGTTCTCATTGTTGTTGTCGCCGTTGTTGTTATTGTTGTTGTTGGCCGGCGCAGCCCGCTGTTTGTGGGCGTGCCTGTTTGATGTCACTGTTGGCCAGTTGCGCTCGTGCAGTGGCTGGCAAACGTTGTGACTCTGCAAAACCCAATATAATTATGTAAACATTGCAAAATAACTTAAATTTGAAGCAACAAATTATGTTCATTTAACACTAAAATTGTAATTTTGTCTATGGGATAATGGGGATTTACAACCCTTTCATCAACCTAAAGCTGGAAAATAGCTCCAAAACTAAAATGTAAGAAATTCAATTTAATAAACGATTGGGAAAATGCTGAGTTGTATTGATCTATGTGTTGTTATTTCTTTTAAAATATCAAAACAATAATCAAATGTAGAAGGTAGAATATGTGTGCATAATTAATACAACCATTTTGGAATTAAAGTTTTACAGACATGGACATTTAAAACAAAACCTTTTTCTAATCAAGCGGCATTTTATTACGGCATCACAAAAAAAACGTTTAAGGGAAATTAACCAAAATCTCTCAGATTTTTATGAGTTTACAAGAGATTGAACCTGTGGTTCTCTCATCGAAGTACAAGACGCTAGCCAATAGACGAGCAAAACAATTCAACATTTTCCCAACTTATTGATTCCTTCTCTTAAGATTTCTTTTTCCAACATGGAAAAATTTATTTATTAATATATTTATTAAGGTTGCCTTAGGAGTCAATAACTTAGCAAGCACACTATTAACAACATTTACATTATTGTTAAACCTAACTTAAAATAAATCCAATTTTACAAAAAGAGTATGGCAACACTTTATTACCTGATTATAGTTTCAATAGAAATTTTGGAAATTTTTTTTAAAAACTAATACCATAAGTACCAAAACTCTCACAAAGACTCTATTCAATACTAAATGTGTGTAAATCAAGCCAGATTAAAACGTCACACTCAACTAATTTATTCTCGATTCTTTTGTTCCAAATCCATTGTCATGAATAGGGTTTGATTTACAAGTAGTTGAAGATCTACCCACTCCTGATAGAATAAATAAACATAATGAAGACTGAACTATTGATAAGAGATATGTTTGAACAAATGTCCATATAAGATAAAAGTATAACTCTGACCAACAAATAAACGGATGAATTATTCAGGTGTTTGGATTCGACTGGATATATCTAGTTTGGGCTGGAATTCTATTTACGGGCAAATATGGAATAAATTAGAAATCCAGTTCCCAAATCAAAGATACCAGTGAGGACGTTTCCAATTTTTGATCTTCAAAATATTTTCCTGTTTAACATAATTTAGTTTTTAAGAATACAGAATAAATTTTGTTAAAGGATATATTTTGACATAAGTGTTGTCTTTTACCCCCCTGCAACAAATAAGCTTGATTAAATGTACATAGATATATAACAGATAAAAAGTCATTCTATTAAGTGTAATTGAATGTATTGATTATAAATTGTATTAGATAACCTATTGTTTTTTTTATTACTAAAATGTTTAATTGTCATGTTACTTTTTTAAGTTATTGAATTTTTTTGGGTATGTAACAATATAATATAGGTACCTTAACTAAGCTTCCTAAGTTAATATACGCTTTTAGTTTGGTTGGATTAGGTTTAGCAATCTTATTATTGCATACGTTTTTTTTACTAAATAATATTGTTACACAACAGCTTATTGTAATCTTAGTTAATAATACTTTTTTTTTATTTGGTAATAAGCATAAAACGCACAAGTCAATCCAAGTCAAACCAATATGTTTTCAACTCTAAATACTATTTCCAAAATTACATTTTATCACAGAAATTTCAGATAATCCTAATACTTAAAATATATTAAAAACCCGATCCTACCCAACAGTTGGAGCTCATACGGTACAACACTGATGCAGTCATTGGTCAGTCAACACAGAGACACTAAACTGAACTGATCTGAACACAGATGTGCAACTGACTGACTCACCAACTCACTGATCTGACTCCCCTCCCCTCCCACACCACGTTGGTACTACTGACCTACCATCCGACCAGTGATAGCGGTTATCACACGTCACTATTGTTGACAGAAAAGTTATCACTTGACACTATTGTTATGGGAGAAATTAAGATTACAGCAAAAGTCAATATTTTTTACACAATCATTGTTTAATTTATGACTAGTCTATTGTTTCTTTGAACTATTTGGCTAGAAAAATACTGGTTAGGAACGTTTTTGACATAAATGTTTCCAATCGAGGGAAGATAATGTAGATTTTCGGATACTATTGCTCGTAAGAAAAGTTAAGATAAGAGCACAGCCAATATTTTTTACTCAACCTTTGTTTAGTTTATGACTAGTGTATTGTTTCTTTGAACAACTATTTGGCTAGAAAAAAACTGGTAGAAAAATTTAAAAAATACTGGTCAACAATATTTTTTATCAAAAGAAGGTAATGTAGTTTTTCTGGCACTATTGATTGTGAGAAAAATTACGATTGAAATGGCTGTCAACATTTTTACAAGACCTTTGATTCATGACCTATGTAATAATTATTTTGATTACTATTTTACTAGAAAGACACTGGTTGAAAAAATGTGTGGTTTTTTGAGTTTTTGAAGTAGGATAAGATGATAATATAGTTTTAATTGTAAATATACAGGGTTAGTAAAAAGTGTGGAGACCCCCTGTTATTTTTTTAACGGCCCATACTAGAAAAACTAAACTCGGCACACCATTATGGCATGTTATGAAGTACTTTTTGGGCATAACCGCCACTTGGTGTTCATCCCCAAAATGGGGGATTTTGGGGGAAACTAAAAAATTTCAAATACAAAGACCCATCGAGTGACCCCTCATTTTGAAGGTCCTGGTAAAAGAAAACCAACAACGCAAACTAGAGGTCTCTATCTCAGTACAAAATGGCAGCCAATTGAAATTCTCATAAGTTCCCGAACCCAAAAGGGGGGATTTTGGGGGAAACTCAAAAATTTGAAATGATAAGCCCCATTGAGTGACCCCTCATTTTGAAGGTCATAATAAAAGAAAACCAACAACGCAAACTATAGGTCTCTATCTTAACACAGTAAAATATGGCAGCCAATTGAATATAAAATTGCAAGTTATTTCCGATTTCTAAAGATTTCAATCAGCTTCCATTTTTTACTGGATTGAGATAGAAACCTCTAGTTTGCGTTGTTAGTTTTCTTTTACCAGGACCTTCAAAATGAGGGGTCACTTGATGGGGCTTATCACTAAAAACTTTTGAGTTTCCCCCAAAATCCCCCATTTTGGGTTTGGTAAGCAAGTGGCTATTAGGCTTAAAAAGTACTTCATAACATGCCAAAAAGGTGTGTAGAGTTTAGTTTTCCTAGTGTGAGCCGCTACAAAATTTACAAGGGGTCTCCAGACTTGGAAAGCTGCAAGTTAAATTCAACTTCTGAGAATTTCAATTGGCTGCCATTTTTTACTGGATTGAGATAAAGACCTCTAGTTTGCGTTTTTTGTTTTCTTTTCCCAGGACCTTCAAAATGAGGGGTCACTCGATAGGTCTTTGTATTTGAAATTTTTGAGTTTCCCCCAAAATCCCCCATTTTGGGGATGTACACCAAGTGACGGTTATGCCCAAAAAGTACTTCATAACATGCCATAAAGGTGTGCCGAGTTTAGTTTTTCTAGTATGGGCCGTTAAAAAAATAACAGGGGGTCTCTACACTTTTTACTAACCCTGTATATTTGGTTGAAAGAGAAAATTGAGATTAGAGTATATGTCAACATTTAATTAACTAGACATTTGTTTGATTTATGACTTGTGTGTTGTTTCTTTTGACTATTATTTTACTAGGAAAACTTATCTGTAATGTTTTCCTAGCAAGAGAAGATAAAAAGGTTGAGAGAAAAACTAAGATTATAGTAAATGTCAATATTTCAAAACAGCCTTTGTTAGTTGATGACTCGTATATTATTTCATTCAACAATTTTACTGGAATGATAATAGTGGAAAAAAATTGTTGAGTCACTTTTTAGAAGGGCCGTCGTTTTTACTCTTGACAATATAGTAGGCCTATTGCTTGTGAAAAATTTTGAGGCGACCTTTGTTTCATATTAAAATAGGACAATAGTTGTATAAACACTACTGCTTGTGAAAGAACCTATGAGAACTCTAGTTTACATTTGAAAGAAAAACTCAATCAGTCTTTCATTTCTTTCACTGGCAGGGATCGTATAGGGCAAATGTTTTTGCGGCATTTCTATTCTGCACTAGTGTCTCACAGTAAGTTTAAAAGACTTCAAAGAGGTATAGGTCAGCATACGAAAATCAGTCATTTACAATGTTATTCCCCATAAGAATAACATGGAAGCGGGAATTTAATTTTCTTGTGCGGGTTTAAGTTTAGAAATTAAGCGTGTTAGAATTTTCCATAAGCTTTGGGCTCAAAGAACAATAATCGTGCCAAATTTTTAGTGTCTGGTACATGTAGAAGTGGTCTTGATTCTGTACTTGAGTCAGTCAGTACTTTGATAAGATTTGAAACTAGGCTAATTTATGTTACATATACGAGGTTTTTCCTCGTAATATTTTTCATAGATTATGATTTGTATAATTATGTGCCCTTTAGAGCATGTTTCTCTTGCTCGTAGTTTTCATGATCTAGCGTTACTTCACCCACCCCCCAAGTTGTGTGCCTGCTGGGAGGGCAACAACATCTGCTTTGGTCATTTCCAAGATGCCCCAACAACAATCAGAAGTCAAAATGTGTTACACACAACCCCCTATACATTCTGGACTATAAGTGGTGTGGTACAGTTGTGATTTGCCTGTATGACCATTGGTGAATGTGCAACTGTTACTATGGCAAATTTTAAAACCCCAAATTTCTCTTCTGAGTCTTCTCCCTTCAAAGAAAAGGGATAAATCGCTAGAAGGAGTGACATTTTTTATTAATGTCAGTGCAATGTACAAACTGTTGGAAAAAAATTATATTTCAACATGAAAATTAATGAACCTATTGTATTTGTTTTGAATATACCAGTTTAGGTAAAAATAACAATTGTCTCTAAATATGCCATGTCAATTAATAATTAATATGATGTCTTGAATTGTCTAAACACCACCTATGACAACTCTAGA